ACTGGAGTAGAACTAGTTGTGCAGCGACAGGCTTGGAGGGTGCAGGAATGGACATGCTCGGAGCGCCCGGCGCGGGCGGCAGCCGGCGGCTCCAGAATCGGGCGGGAGCTACGAGCCCTCCGACCACAAACGAAGCCCAGCTCGGCTCTGCTCTGGTCCAAGTCTGATGCAACATCTCCATAATCCCCCCTTGGATCTGGCACAATTTGCAGTTTTTCTGGTTGTTTTGTGGCCGCCAGCCCAGGGTTGCTCCAGGGCCCCGGGCTCCGAGCGGCAGCCTCAGCAGCGGCTCTTGTCCTTAGGGAGCCATTAGCAGCGGGGGAGAATTTCCCCGGGAGCCCGAGGTCTAGAAAAGATCCACAAACCGGGATTTTGCTTATAGGATTCTGTGTGATTCATAAAATCCCACCCCCGTTTTCCCCATGGTCATGAAGGCATGTGTATTTACACTGGGACTGGTCCCGCTGCACAAGATCCAGGCCTGCAAAGCCCTGTGCGCTAGGAGGGCTGCTCGGCCCGGCCCGCCTGCAGCACCTTCCTCACCCAGAAACCCGGGAATGCTGCAGGAGGCCCGGGATTGGGAGCAATACCCCAGGAACTTTGACTGAAACCAGGTAAATCAACACGTCTGTAAAATTCATGATTTTGAGCCTCTAAGATAATAGTGGAAGGTGTCAAGTATAAAAGTTGCCTTTAGAAATAGCCCTCAGTACAGCCCTTTTGTGGCGGGCGCAGGTTCGGTTGCTAAACTGTAAACCGAGAATATAAACGTGTTTTGTTTTGGTAGAATATTAATATCCTTTACAGAGCTGCTAAATTTTGACGGTGCCTGTGAAAAAACAGGAGAGAGATTTATGAGCGTGCTGACAGAGTATATCAAAACTGCAAACTGTTCCAGATGTTAAGAAAAAAAAAAGGGAAAAAGAAAAAGCCACCTTCGCTTAGGAAAAGCTTTGCTCTGATGCACGGGAACGGGAAGGGCGCTCGCGCTGCCGCCGCGGTGCCCGCGCGCTCCGCAGCGGCGCAGGGAGCGCTCGGAGCCTCCCGCAGAGCCGGGGCCCGCGCGGGCGCCCGCTCCGGCCGGGCGCTTCCAGGACGGGCTCACAGTCATGGCAAGCTGCAGCACAACGGCGTGAAACATCGACCATGCGTAGCATAATGACGAACTCGGGGTTGGTGTAGGAGAATCCCGCGAACTCGTTCTGGTCCAGGTTCATGATGAAGAGCTTGTCGGTGGGTGTGAGCTCCACGGGCTGCCGGGTGAACTCCTTGTCGAAGTTGGACGTGTCGCGCTTGTCCTTCTGTTGGGCGGAAAGCTCTCTCCAGGTTCTTCCTTCTCTCCTTGTCCTTCCTTCATGCCCTTCCTCTCTCCAGGTTCTTCCTTCTCTCCTTGTCCTTCCTTCATGTCCTTCCTCTCTCCAGGTTCTTCCTTCTCTCCTTGTCCTTCCTTCATGTCCTTCCTCTCTCCAGGTTCTTCCTTCTCTCCTTGTCCTTCCCTCATGTCCTTCCTCTCTCCAGGTTCTTCCTTCTCTCCTTGTCCTTCCTTCATGTCCTTCCTCTCTCCAGGTTCTTCCTTCTCTCCTTGTCCTTCCTTCATGTCCTTCCTCTCTCCAGGTTCTTCCTTCTCTCCTTGTCCTTCCCTCATGTCCTTCCTCTCTCCAGGTTCTTCCTTCTCTCCTTGTCCTTCCTTCATGTCCTTCCTCTCTCCAGGTTCTTCCTTCTCTCCTTGTCCTTCCTTCATGTCCTTCCTCTCTCCAGGTTCTTCCTTCTCTCCTTGTCCTTCCCTCATGTCCTTCCTCTCTCCAGGTTCTTCCTTCTCTCCTTGTCCTTCCTTCATGTCCTTCCTCTCTCCAGGTTCTTCCTTCTCTCCTTGTCCTTCCTTCATGTCCTTCCTCTCTCCAGGTTCTTCCTTCTCTCCTTGTCCTTCCCTCATGTCCTTCCTCTCTCCAGGTTCTTCCTTCTCTCCTTGTCCTTCCTTCATGTCCTTCCTCTCTCCAGGTTCTTCCTTCTCTCCTTGTCCTTCCTTCATGTCCTTCCTCTCTCCAGGTTCTTCCTTCTCTCCTTGTCCTTCCCTCATGTCCTTCCTCTCTCCAGGTTCTTCCTTCTCTCCTTGTCCTTCCTTCATGTCCTTCCTCTCTCCAGGTTCTTCCTTCTCTCCTTGTCCTTCCTTCATGTCCTTCCTCTCTCCAGGTTCTTCCTTCTCTCCTTGTCCTTCCCTCATGTCCTTCCTCTCTCCAGGTCCTTCCTTCTCTCCTTGTCCTTCCTTCATGCCCTTCCTCTCTCCAGGTTCTTCCTTCTCTCCTTGTCCTTCCCTCATGTCCTTCCTCTCTCCAGGTTCTTCCTTCTCTCCTTGTCCTTCCTTCATGTCCTTCCTCTCTCCAGGTTCTTCCTTCTCTCCTTGTCCTTCCTCTTATCCACATCCTTCCTCCTCTTTTTGTCCTTCCTTTCACATCCTTCATCCTCTCCAGGTCCTTCCTTCTCTCCATATCCCTCCACCAGTTCCTTTCTCTCCTCTGCATCCTTCCTCTTCTCCAGGTCCTTCCTCCTCTCCGGGTCCTTCCTCCTCTCCGGGTCCTTCCACTTCTCTGGGTCCTTCCACTTCTCTGGGTCCTTCCACTTCTCTGGGTCCTTCCACTTCTTCGGGTCCTTCCTCCTCTCCAGGTCCTTCCTTCTCTCCAGGTTCTTCCTTCTCTCCAGGTCCTTCCACTTCTCTGGGTCCTTCC